CTAAGTTAAAAATTTTATTTTGCAATTAATATTTTATAAAATAGAAGCAATCAGATGATTAAAAAAAATTATATATTGAATTAACATTAGATATAAATATTTTAAATTATTTTGCTAAATATTCTATGGACACCACAAGGTCCTAAAAACACATAAATAGTGTTCTTTAAAAGTAGAAAGGACCAAAAAGCTGACCCAAACGAAGCCTAAATGACAAACAATTCGTTAAAAGCAATTTTCAAACATTAACAATTGATTAGTTTTATATTAATTCATCTTAAGCTGTAAAGTATAACGAGAAGTTTAAGCGGTTGATTGGTTTGCCGAGAAAAAAAAAAAGTTTAATATTTGATGTTTTTATGGAATAGGAGAAATATGTGAAGTTCTTTATTCCACCCACCACTATATCCTCTTAGTAATATTGCTAATTAGATGTCATTGACTCATCACATTTTAACTATTCTCAACAGCTAACAAAAGAACATGAAGATTTAGAACCTTACAACGCTCATGAGCGCTAAAAAACTTGAGAGCAATGCTTTCACGGCGACGTGGAACACAATGTCGCGGCGCTCCAAGGGGAAAAACTCAAATTGTATAAATAGACAAATAGGCTCCCAAGACTCGCTACAGAACAAATGCAAAGTCTCTTATGTACACAAAACGTTCTCAAACACATGCAAAATGATTCAACTACAAAAATTAGCAACTTACCTTTTTCAAATCAGATGAAAACAAGTTGATGAATACTGAATCTGGAGGTGTTACACCTCCCCTTTCTTTTCTTCTCTTATTGACAACATAGGCCACAATACTTGTTACGAGATGACATATTTGTAGCTGTAAAGTGATGGAGTTTTTCATCTTAGTGATGCACGAGTGTCCAATACTCAAACCGATAAGTGAAAGAGCTTGGAAACAACAAATTTTTTTTTGAAAAACTTGCAAAGGAAAAAAATCACAGATCCTTGCCCGATTGAAGGGATTTTATTATGTATGAGTAAGTTACAAAGGTTGAGCTGTCTCGTAGCTTAGAGAAGATGAAATTACAATAGTATGGAGAATCAACAAAAGTTTGTATGAATGCTTGGGAGTTAGAATGACCGTGGTCGGGGACGATGGTTGGAAGGATAGTAGCCGGGCTATAGTGGTCTCAAGAATGAGGTCGGCATGTGACGGGGGTCAAAAGCTTAGTGGAAGTGGTCGAATGAAGGTTCCGACGATGATGGAAACTAAGTAGAGGTATGATGATGACAGAGACTAGGTGGAGGTCTGGCGACGGTGGCAGCCGAGTGTATGTTTGAAGATAATCGGCGGCTAGGCAGTGGTCTAATATTGATCGGAGCTTGTAGGAGGTCCAACTGGTTTAGGCGGCCTGACTGATATCTTACAGTAATCAGGTGGTGATTGGCGAATTGGCAGAGGTCCTATAATGATCGACAACTTGGCGGAGGTCTGGCGATGATCCGCAACTGGGTAGAGGTTCAACAGCAATTGGAGGCCGGATGGTGGTCTAACGACAGTTAATGACTTGGTGGAGCTTTTACAGAGGTCCAATGGAGATTGACAATCGGGCGAAGGTCCAGTGACGGTCATCGGCCAGACAGAGGTTTATCAGCAATTATCGAGTAGAGCTCTGGCGGTGGTTGGTTGATGAAGGTCTAGTAATAGTGTTCATGCAGAGGTTCAACAATGATCAGTAGCTGGGTAGAAGTCCTGAGGCTATCGGTTGGGCAGAACTCCTGTGGTGTAGATAGGCCAATGAAGGTTTATTGGTGATGGTGCTCGGGTGGAGTTGTGGGATAATTGAAGCCTCATGGCTCTCTTCAATCTTTAGCAGAATGTCCCCCTCATATTAGCAGTGGCAGCCTATTTATATATATATTTAGAGTGGCATGCCTCTTAATTATAAAAAAAAATGGAGCAAAATTGGAGTGTTCCATCGAACAACCCGTATTAATTCTCCTTCATAGATCATTTTTTTTCACCATTTAGGTCCCTAAATAATATCAAAATTAAGTAACTTGGACTCATTTTATTCGTCTTGTGAAACTACTTGATTCGACTATAAGCATGTCAAATTTTGAGATCATTTAATCACCTAATTTACACTTTGAAGTTTCCAACTACACTCTTCAAGCCATTAATTTTTGCTCAATTGGGTTCTGATTTGATCAATTTTGATGTCGTTGGATTCATCTCATCGAGGCATTCATTTTGCTTATAAATTTGTTAAAATCAAAATCCAAATGGTCTCAAATTTAATTTTGAAAGTTTATAATTTAAACGTGTATCAAGATTCTTGTCGGATCATAATAATTTTCTTGTTAATTAAAATTTTTATATTATCCTCTCTCAATGGCCGAACTGTTCTAAATTATAATAATATATACAGTATCATCACAACATCAACTCAATAAATAAATAAATAAATATATTTTTTCATATAATTTTTTAGCTTGCTAAAACATTAATACTCAATAAATAAAAAATAAAATAAAATAAAATGAATAGTTCAAATGCAGTCATCTCTACAAACGGTGACTTTTCCATCAACTTTTCCTCAACTCTGGCGTTTTCTATCTTGTAAGCTCCGAACAAGGCTCGGTGAGAGCACAAATGGAGAGAAATATTACTCATAAAGGAAAATAGAATTCTCAATATTATAAGAAATTAATACTGTTATTTTGTCAGCTTGGATACGCATTCATGGCTCCCGTTTTTCCATTTGTTTCGCTGTCCAAAACGCCAGAAGCGGTCTCCTCTGACCGCTAAAAATATACAGAGAAGAGAGCTGCTCCTTTGGGTCTCTGTCTAGAGAAATTATTCTGTGTGGAGAGTGCACAAAGAAGATCAATCAAAATACGTCACATCAATGATACTGAGTCGCGGTACCGAACGGTGAGAAGCAGAATTGAGCCAGCATGGGATTCTGATTGGTCTCAGGACAAGCGTTCAAACGTCCGCATCTAAGAATTTAATTAATCCTTAGTCTGTCTAAGGCTTCATTTTGGGACGGTTTTCTAATTATTGTTCTAAAACAGTTTTTTATAGATAAATATTCTTAATTTTTATACTAAAAATCTAATTTAAAGAGCAGCTATAAAAGCAAAAAAGCTATTTAAAAAAAAATATAAGAAAGCTATTTGTGACATTTTTTTTTTACTGATTCTTAAGTTATTTCTAGTATATAAATTTTAATTTTTTATTAAAAGTCCATATTTTAAAAAAATAATTAGAGAACCATCTCTAAGTTCAAAATCCAAAACAATTAAACAACCCACATATTTCACATTATGAGAAACCAAAAATTACAGTGATGACTTTAAAATAAAATAAAGTTGAATCAAATTTATATAGAGGATAAATATTTAAACTTTCAGATATTTATAAAAAATTTAAAAATATTTTATCTTTTGTATTTTTAGTCCTTTTATATTTTAATTATTTTATTAAAATTTTATCATTATAAATTTATTACTGTAAAGGTGAAGATCATGTATATATATTTGAGATGAATATTAAAAACATATTTCAAATTTTTTTTCTTCTCTATAAGATATAATTAAATTCAAGTCTGAATATTTTTGATTCAATTAAAATTCTATAATACATAAATAAAATAAAAATAACATAAGACTATATTGATTTTATTCATCAAATTATATTTAAAAAATAAAAAATAATTTTTATGGGTAAGCACTAAAAAATGTGTAATTGTTCAATCTTAGTGGGTGTATTATAAAGTGCTGATCTTATTTTTATTAAAATGAGCATACAATTTTGATAAGTTCTAATTTTATTATGATATTTATTCTGTTGTATGTATATAAATATTATTGTTTTTTGTTTTATTAAATATTTTACAGAATTTTTTTTTTGAAATTAAAATTAGATAATTTTATTATACAACTAAATTAAATGCTATGAGCAAATTATTAAGCAATGAAAGTTTCATCATAATATCTTGGTATTTTAAAATAAACATAATAAATATCCTTTAAAAAAAATGGTCAAGTTCCCTCACCCAATCTCTCTCTCTCCTTCTTTATATTGCTCTTTGATCCCTCTCCATCACCAGCCTCGTCCCCCCTTGCTCTCATGGGCAACAACTTGGTCTCTCCCTGTTTTCCGGCAGCCACCCACGCCGCCTCCGCCACCACAAAGCTCATCTTTTGGGGAGGAGCCACCCGCCTCCTCCCCTGCCGGCAACTTGCCGGCGAACTCATGTATCAGTTCCCCGACAGCCTCGTCTGCCACGCTAACTCCTTCTTCATCGGCCAACCCGTCCCCGCACTAGCCATCCAGGACGAGCTAATTTCCGGCGAAACCTACTTCGTTCTCCCCTCCGACCACCTGCCCTGCGGCACTCTCACCGCCGCCTCTCTCGCTCTGCTCTCTTCCACCAAAGGCCAGCAATCGCCTTTCGTTCACGGAAAGTGTCCGTTTGAGTATGTAAAAGGAAATGATGGGAAATCACATATAAGGGTGCTTCCGGAGTTTATTGAGAGAATGATAAGTGGCGACGGCGCCACCGCCGCCGGAGAGGGGAAGGGAGGTTGCGGCGGGGTTTGTGAAGAGATATGTAGTACGCCGGAGCTGAAGAAACAGTATGAGCAATTGGTGGGGTCGAAGAACCGGCCGTGGTCGCCGAGGTTGGAGACGATTACAGAGAGTAATTTTAAGGTGAGATTGTCTCCCGGCAGGATCTTCGGGTGCGATAGAATCTAATCGATGTATAATTGGGTGAAACAAATATAGAAAAAAGAATTGAAAAAGGACTTTCAATATATTTTGTATTAAGATGAGCTTATTGACCTTAGATTTTCTCTAAGATTAGTGCAATACATGTGATATTCAATAATTACACTAATCTCAGAAAAATGAAAGGACATTGAAGTATGTCATGAGGTAAAATATGTCGGGATATCCTTATATTATTTTTTTTTGCACTTTGGATCAAAATATTCTGAGCAAAATTTAGATTTTGTTTGATATAACTTTTTTATTGTTTTCTAAAATAATTTTTTTATACAAAAATTTCCTTACATCTACGGAAAAAAAAAGACTAAAACTTGTACTAAATGAAGTCTTAGGTTT